CCTCATGACTATCTCACAGGAAATAGTAGTAGAGAAATTGCCACCTCATTGGCAAAAAGTGCGTGAGATTGGAGTTCAAGGTTAGAAAAACCACTGCAGATTTCAATAGGAAATTCAAACAATGAGAACCACAGAAAGAGTTGACCGGAACTTCTGTCCAAATCTACAGTTGACAGCCAAACTATATGTGAACGACAGAATTGCCCTGGAACCTAATTTAAAAAAGCAAGCTGAAGCTTCACCGGGTTGAAATACCAGGGCACAGCCCCAAACTGACAGAACAGCTAGAAATTAGAAGAGACCCCCTATAAGCAAATAAACCAGACAGAATGATCCCCACCACTGAACAACCAACAAATCATAGGTATGTTCTGGTTGTTTGGCTGGTAAATCATGTCTAACTCTTTGTGACTCCATGGACTGTATGTAGCATGCTAGGCTCCTCTGTCCTCTGCTCTCTCCCAAAGTTTGCTCAAATTCATGTCCATTGAGCCAGTGATGCCATCTAACCATCTCATCCTCTGCCACCCCCTTTTTCTTTTGCCTTCAGTCTTTCCCAGCATCAGGGTCTTTTCCAATGAGTTGGCTCTTTGCATTAGATAGGATAGATCAATTCACAGGAAACCAGGCTTAAAGAGTAGCCATGAAGAGACAAGAGCTAACAGTAGCTGCCTATCAGAGAAGAGAAAATGTTAGCATTTGAATCCAGGCACGTTAACTGCCAAAAGGACCACCCCATCACTACCAAATCAGTAATCTTCAGAAGAAAAATGAAATCCACAGTCACTACACTATATGAACTTTAATGTCCAATTTTCAGTTAAAAATTACTAAGCATATAATGAAACAGAAAGAAAAGTTTGGAAAAGAGGCAGTCAATAAAAGGGGCTTAGGGTATCCAGATAATTGATTTAGAAAAGACTTAAAGTGTCTCCTTTATTTTGCTGAACTACTAATTATATTGATTAATGTTTGAGAGCTACATCTACAATGTGTTCCTGAGATAAATCTTATTTGATGCTGAAGACTACACATTTTTCCACTTTTTCATCAAAACTGTACATTGTTTCTAAAATTGAGTTTCTTGATTTGCATGACAAATCACAAAAGCCACTGAGTTTAGCATTCTTCTGTTATTTTGGGTAAAAAAATCAAGAGATTCCCATTAAAATATAAACTCTGTAAATGCAGAAACTTTTGCTTTTCTTATGTCCTTGACAACTGTATGGTGTCTGACATAGAGTGGGTGCTCACTATTTATTTTTGGCTGCACCACACAGCATGTGGGATCTTAGTTCCCCACCAAAAATTGAACCTGCATCCCCTGCATTGGAAGCATGGAGTCTTAACTACTAGACTGGCAGACAAGACCCAATATTTATTGAATAAATGACTTGAAAACATGCTGAAATTAGTAGTTGTCTCTATAGAGTAAGAACTGCAGATATTTTCAGGTAATCAAGGGCTTGATTGTGTGAAACTATTTATTAATTTTTTCCAGTTCAGTTAGTCATGTCTGACTCTTTGCTGTCCCATGGACTGCAGCATACCAGGCTTCCTTGTCCATCAACAGCTCCCAGAGCTTGCTCAAACTCATGCCCATCGAGTCAGTGATGCCATCCAACCATCTCATCCTTTGTCGTTCCCTTCTTCTCCTGCCTTCAATTTTTCCCAGCATCAGGGTCTTTTCCAATGAGTCAGTTCTTCGCATCAGATGGACAAAGTATTGGAGCTTCAGCTTCAGCATCAGTCCTTCCAGTGACTATTCAGGACTTAATTTATTTTTTTTTTTAATGTCTATTTTAAGATTTCCTGATAGAAGTTCAGTAGAAGTATATACAATAAATTCATCAGCACCAGCTAAGTACTGACATATGTCATGAATTTTAAGATGTAAGATACAATAGGGGATTTAAATTTATGGACTAAAATCACTTCTAGGCATAATGTCAGTTAAAATTACATAATGGGTGAATACATGCTTTAAAATCTTTTTAAAAGTTTTTGAATATGTGGTCTTTCAGTTACCTGACTTTATAACTTTAATCCTCACTGGAATATTGATTAAACAGACACTCAAAGGAAGACAGAATGACAACAGTTATGTATTAATGAGTTAGGTCCCTATGAAAAGTATCAGAGGTCCTTAAGCGAAGCATGTATTGTTCAGAAATTATATGGCATGTTATTAACCTTTGGGTCACTAGAGGGCGGTGATGTTTCAGAACAACACAATTCAGACTGTTTCTGTTCTGACACCAAGAAGTGCTGCTAGCATTCTATAGTGACACCTCAGATCCTCCAAATTACTTGTTTTCAAGGTGAATAGCTACAAAACATACAACTTAGGAATCAATACACAGAAAGGAGGAAAGTGTTATACAAAAACTCTGAAAGGCAGTACATTTAAGGCATTGGTGGAGGTGAGTTAAGAGAGGCTAGCATTAACTGATACTATATGCCCTTATATTTTAACTCTTATGTAGTCTAACTGGTGTGTACTGCAGTGAGGGAAACAAAATTTTCAAAGAGGACAAATATTCATAAATAGTAAGTTTTGATGTCATTGTAGATTGGCTTTGTTTAGTTTTTTTTTTTTTTGCTGTATAAATCATGGAAAGGTTTTAAATTTTAAAATAAATATACAGTTACACTAGAGTTTTATTGCTATAACATTAAATTTTGATATGTACTTTCAATCCAATGCTTTGGATAAAACCTGTATCTGGGAATACCATTGAATATTATTTTACTTTTCCAATGACACTTTAGAAAAACATTTTCACAAATACGAGTTTGAGACTAATTAAAACTAATAAAAGCTTGGGGGGAAGATTTAAAAAATGAACCACTTCTCTATTCCTTCTTAGTTGTTCTCATTAGACACATGGCATTACAAATAAATTTGAAAAAAGTAAAAGAAAAAAACAGTAAAACACAAAATAAAATTAGTAATGTGATTAATGCATGTTGTTAAAATAGAATTTACATTTCATTTTTGCTTTTTCTCCTTTAAAAACTATATAGCCCTATAATGATTTTTTTTTCAGACTCTGATACAGAGTCAAAACAACAGCATAGAAAGAATGCAAGGGGACATACTCCATTCTCATATCCTACCACTCATTTACATCCAATAAGATCAACTAAGCTGGAAAAGACAACAACTGAACTGACCCAGCCTTGCTCTGAAAGTCTGAGTAATGGTCTTCATAGGGCTGAGTAAATGTGCTTCCCAACTGGCTCAGCGGTAAAGAATCCGCCTGCGATACAGAAAACGCAGGAGATGCCGAGGGTTCCATCCCTGGGACGGGAAGCTCCCCTGGAGGAGAGCATGACAAACCGCTGCAGTGTGCTTGCCTGGAGAATCCCAAGGATCGAGGAGCCTCACAGGTTACAGCGCATAGAGTGGCACAGAGCCGGACACGATGGAAACGACTGAGCTGAATGATTAGATCTAATGTCTTAAATATGAGGGAAAATGAAGTTCGAAAATAATTTTTAAAATCTTTCCACTTCCCCGACAAGATGAAAAGGCAGAAAAACTAGACTCTCCCTAGATTTGAGAACTGCTGGTCTTATCACCTGTTGAGAGTGGTTATGGTATCTATGTAAAGAACACTGTGCTTCAGATAAGAAGTTGGAGACTGGAGAATTGCTGAAAGACTTGGGCACATCCTCTAACTTCAGGAGCCTCAGTTACCTCACCTTAAAAGGGGAGTAATAATACTTGGAGGATGTCTGAGAAAAAATAGGGAAATGGTTGTGAAACACATAAAATATTGGCTTAATAAAAGATGTTACTGAGTGATTATGCCCATTTTCACTAAATGTGAAGACCTTCATAACATCTAAATGCAGTTTCTAGTCCTAATTGCATAAGAATGGTCCAGGGTGGAGAAAGATGGTTGCAGGCTTTCTAAGAGTTTGCCTTGTTTCTCTGGCCCACCTCCCCTCACTCCCACAGGCTAGCAGCCTTTGATTTCAATAATTCAGATGTGCTGAGACAGTGAAATAGTGAGTGGCAGCCACCTGCCTCTAGCCCCTTTTGCCCTAGCTAAATGTTAAAAATATTTTTAATTAATTAATTAATATATATATATATTTAAAGTTAAGGAAGGAGAAGAATTTAGGCTGGTGATGAAGGGGGTTGGTAGTTGGGATTTCTTTATTTTTGAATCCGAAGTCTGATTTTATTTTGTCTTCCTGTACCTATTCCCTTGAATCTTATGGCACTATTGGTTTTACAGTTTCAGTGCTCCCCTGGGGACAGAACAACCTGGCCTGCTTAAGATCATGCGAGAGTCCCAAAGTAGAAAGGGAAAAATGTTCACGCTCATCTACGCGTCAGGAGTGTGGTTTGCCTAGATTACTCAGGGTCAGGTAGGTGAGATACAACCTGCCAGGGCCACAAAAGAGCCCCGGGAGGGAGACCCGGTCCTTGCGTGAACCTCTGTGGATGGAGGAGGAGGAAGGCGGGCACCTTGGCAACTTGCCTGAGGTGGGGTAGCCGAGGGAGACCTTTTAGCCCCAGCCTCTCACCGACTCTCCTCTGGCAGAGAACCGGAGGCGGCGCGGGGCAGCCTGGCTGGGCGGCCGGTCGCGGCAGGAGCTGGAGCATTTCGAGAGGAGTCCTCTGCCAATGGAAGGATGTTCGGAGCCCAGGCGGCCAAAGCAGTGATCAAGCCGCAGCGAGAGAGAGAGAGACAGAGACCGAGGGAGGCTCTCGGCTGCTTCTGCGTCCTCCTCCCACTGCACTTTGGCCCACGCCCACGGGCGCCCCGCCCCCCTCGGGCTTATAGCAGGCGCCGGGCACCTCCGGACGCCTGGGAGCCGACGGCGCGGCTGCCTGCTTGGCCTGGGAGCCCCGGCGCCGCCGCCTTAGTGGCGAAGTGAGGCGGCGGCTGCGCCCCGCATCATGGAGGGCAGCCTAGCCGCGACCCCAGCCCCAGCCCCGGTCGCCACCGACAGCCGCCGCCTGCCGCGCCGGGTCGGCCGGCTCCCGTCGCTCTTCTCAAGGTGCCGTCCCTGCCTCACCTCCAAGGCAGTATGAAGGCGACCCGGGACCACGCGAGCGCCCCTTTCTGTACGCGCTTCAACCACTCCGACCCGGGCATCTGGGCGGCCGAGCGCGCCGCTGAGGCGCCGAGCAACCTCACGCTGCCCCCGGAGCCCAGCGAGGACTGCGGCTCGGTGTCCGTAGCCTTTTCGATGACCATGATGATCACCGGGTTCGTGGGCAACGCGCTGGCCATAACGCTCGTGTCGAAGAGCTACAGGCGCCGGGAGAGCAAGCGCAAGAAGTCGTTCCTGCTGTGCATCGGCTGGCTGGCGCTCACCGACATGGTCGGGCAGCTGCTCACCAGCCCGGTGGTCATCGTCCTCTACCTGTCCCACCAGCACTGGGAGCAGCTCGACCCCTCGGGGAGGTTGTGCGCCTTCTTCGGCCTGACCATGACCGTCTTTGGGCTCTCCTCGCTCTTCATTGCCAGCGCCATGGCCGTCGAGCGGGCGCTGGCCACCCGGGCGCCGCACTGGTACTCAAGCCACATGAAGACCAGCGTCACCCGCGCCGTGCTGCTAGGCGTGTGGCTGGCCGTGCTCGCCTTCGCCCTGTTGCCGCTGCTGGGCGTAGGTCAGTATACCATCCAGTGGCCTGGGACTTGGTGCTTCATTAGCACCCGGCCTCAGGGCAACGGGACTAACTCCCGGCAAAACTGGGGCAACGTTTTCTTCGCTTCTGCCTTTGCCATCCTGGGGCTCTCGGCGCTGGTGGTCACCTTCGCCTGCAACCTGGCCACCATTAAGGCCCTGGTGTCCCGCTGCAGGGCCAAGGCCACGGCGTCGCAGTCCAGCGCCCAGTGGGGCCGAATCACGACAGAGACGGCCATCCAGCTCATGGGGATCATGTGCGTGCTGTCGGTCTGCTGGTCGCCCTTGCTGGTAGGTAGTTCCAGGGCCTGGGGAGTTCGGGGTGGGCGTGTGCGCGCCGGCGGGCAGGGGAGACTTTGGGAAGTGCCAACACCTGCAGGGGCGTGTCTGCAAGAGGCGAACTCTGGAAGGGCTCCACCTGCGCTTCTTGGTCTCGGCTTCAGAACATAGCTCCTCATTTACCTGCTGAGCACCTTCCAAGTGCTAGGCATCGCATCAGGCTATGGCTGTGCACGCCTGGAGACCCCAGGGGTGCTCACATTCCAATCGGAGAGAGTAAGAGGATACCCTGGTGTTAGTTCACTGCTGGTGCAGAAACTGGTTTCTCCCGGGAGCACTAGGAGCAGAATAGAATGGCGATGACAAGTCTAGCCCGGTACTCTGGGTTTTCTCCTTATTTCAAATACCTCTCGCACGCTGAGTCGATTTTCACTCTGCAGAGGTACTTTCCCGGCGCCCCCCGCACCCGCCACCCGGCGGACAGGCACAACCGCTGAGCCAGTGCGCGCCCTCCCGCAGCAGCCGCGGCTCGCCTTGCTAGCAGGCAGACGCGAGGCAGGAGAGTGGAGAGGCGTCTCGCCCTCGGCCATCCTCCGTCCTTTGAAATTCCGCTGCGCCCGCTAGGAAGTGCGAGAACCCACAGTCATCCGGTGGCCCCCAGGCCTACTAACTCCTTCGGACCAGCCTTGGCTTGTCCTTGCGGTCACTACGCGGCGCTGATGGGAAGGCCCTTCCTGGGATAGGAAGGAGAGGTTTCTGCACTTAGCAGCTCCTCACGGGGCCCACGGCCCGGGAGCAAGTGACGTTTCCACATGCTCCTTGTCTAACACCTGTTCTTACATCTTACTTTCCAGGTTTTCCTCTGCGGTCCTTTTAGCTCGACATTTGGTGTAAGTGCTATTTACTAATTCCTGGTGAATGGTTGCTTTTCTAGGCCCCCAGCAACCTAGCTCAGTAAATATTCCTGCAAGAGTGACCTGGTCACTGTGACAGGGTTACAACAGATGACACATCGGATCTAGAAACTTATTAGACACTTGTGAAAAACTCCTGAAATCCACAGTTTTCAGAAGCCACCCACATATAGGGTTTTTTACATTTTTTTTCTTGTTTTAGTTTTTATCTGTATCTTGCGGCTTGCGGAATCTTAGTTCCCCCACCCAGGGATCCAACCGGTGTCCCCTGCATTGGGAGCTTGGAATCTTCATGGCAGGACCATGGAAGTCCGGAGCTTTTCTTTTTTTAATTGTGATAGAATACACATAACATGAAATTTCCCATTAGTTTTGAGTGTGCAATTAAGTTATATGAAGTACATTAACATTGTCGTACACCATGTACGATTTTAAAATCCTTGTACTTTTTAAGAGAACTGTAGTTCCTTTTCTCCTCTCACCCCACCCCACCCCCACCACTCCTGCATTTGACAACACTCATATTCCAGAATACTCTTGTTTAATTGTGTAGTATATTTAGAGCAGGAGTCTTGCTTGGAATGGATCATAGGTTGTGACAAGGAGAGTTATGCTGGGACCGAATAGTCCACAAATCGCTGTAAGGTCTCAGTTCTGCATTCCAGAAGCTAGAAGTCAGGCTGATGTCATCACCGTGGCTTATCAAAGCCAGCACCAATTTTAGACATATTTACTTCTACTGTGTGTAGGTAGTCAAATAGAAGAAAAAAAGAATTCTAAATAATAAGCACTTTACTACAATTGATAGTTAATGTAGCTTTAAAGGCAAACAGAATATTTGAATTTTTCACAAGTCATTTGAGTCCCACGTATTTGAGTTTGTTCTATCATACTCTCTATGTGTGCTCTATATATCCAAGGAAAAAGGTAAATCATATGAATAAAATGCTTACTCATACAGTTAACCAGACTTATAGTTGTTGCTTTTTTTTTTAACTAGAAGAGAAAATAAGCAGTGTGTTTTTTATTTCAAAACTGTGCTTCTAATAAGATGGGCACAGTGGCCTTATGAAGACTTTAGATCAGTTCTGAAAACTGAAACCTGGGATGATCAAACTCACTCTTAAGAAACCCTGTATTTGGAATTCATCTTACTTAATTTCATTTAATATTTGCATATAAACTTTATTGGTTTGCAGCATTTTATCAAAGTTTATTGGGTCAGTTCTCATAAAAACATTAAACAGATTCAACATGTGATCATATCAAAGAGAAGAAATTCGTGGTTTTCAAAATAGGTATTTTTTGAACTAAAGTAATTATTCTATTTTCTGTTTTGTGCACCACTGAAGTTAAATCTCCAAATATCTTCAGAAAGATCTGCAATACAAAGTTGGAATTATTTCAAAGGAAAGAAAATGGCAAAACTGCTCTCTTAATAGGTTAGGGAATTATAAGAAAGAAAACACTAGAATTTAGTGAACTGAATTTTTAGTGTATTAATGCTAAAGTAAGAGGGTTTTTTTTTAATATGTTTTCCCTAATTATAAAATATAGATTCCCTGTAAGCTTTAAGAAAAAAAATTGGGCACAGGGTACTAATCTAATTATCCAAAATTCTTACTTAAAAGGACTCTGAGTGTATCTTATCTTGGAGGACTAACGTGATGACAATAATGTTCAGTTGTCACTGCTGAAAAACTTAGCAGAGAATAGATACCATAATAAGAAAACATCCCAAATGAATTAGCTGCAAATTCCTGCTGTGTAAATAGGAGCCGTTTCTGGGTTTATCTGGTTTAAATAGAGGTTTATCTATGGTGTAAACAAAAAGCTTTTAAACTTTTTTTCCCCCAGAAGCTATACAACAGAAAATCTGAAATTAAGTGAGAATAGTGGGAAGTGATGTCACCATTGATAGATGACTTACACTTCTTAGTCAATAAAAGGCATCAGATTCTGTTGAAATCAGTCAATTGACTCAGCAATGCAATCTGTTTGACTTATTATCGTTAGATTTTTTATGAACTACGATCACCAAATAGTCCAGTTGTTTGACATGATAGCCAAGTTTCCAGAAGCAGGAATAACCTGAGGCTGTTGTTCAGAGGAAGCCATCAGGACAGTTTGCCCTTTTGTACACCTGGCACTCCTCAAAGAGGCACAACAGCTACAATACCAACACTGTAAGTGGCTAATCTGTAGCCATCTTAAAAATAGTAGGCGAAAAGCTATCTCCACTGTGAAAAGAGAGAATGAGGAACAGAGTTTCTCATCCATGACTCAGGAACTGTATAAAAACAGCCTTAGGAACTTTGCCTTTAATCTTGAACCAGCAAATTCCCTGCTCAATAGCCACAGATGTGAGCAGAGATGTTTTGACTCAAGGAGATATTTTGCAACATAGATGTAGTGTTTTTTAAGTTTTAGGAATCACTGATATTTTTTGACATAGAAAATTTGCCTTAAATGTACTACATGTGAAAAATAGATGCAATAGGTTATTTTACAGAAGTAATGGTGTTTTATAGTGTTATAAAAAGTATTATTAAGTTGCTAATATTTTCTCTGCCTATACATTTGTATTCAGGATGTTAATTCAGGGAAAATGATTAAGCATATGAATTGACATTATAGGAAAAATCTTCTATAATTTGTTTTTATAAGAATTTAGATTATTCAGAATTCTTAGGTTTTTTTTTTTTTTTTTTTTTTTTTTAGTTTACTACAGTTCACTTTTAAGCATTGTGGAGGGATATTAAGTAGACATTAAAAACTGGTCAAAGCATTATAATCTGTTCAGAGAAGTAGGATTCCCACATTTGTAAGTGAAACAATTAGAGAATAATACAAGATTAGATGTAATTAACAATGCCTTTGGCTCTGGGAAGAAATCCCTCTGAATTTGCCAAAGTAGGCTTCCAGAAAGAGTTGGGCTGGCATAGCTTGACCTCACAGCTGAGAGTGTGAATGTCCGGGAACCCAGCTCACGAGAGTAGGGAGGGTGGACGCTGAAAACACAGGAAGAATGGTTTGAAAGAGTTCTGTGGATGGATTGAGGATAAATGCAGGATGAGGACTGTGTTCTTTGGCCTGTAGGCTATAAAACCTCTATTTTGGGTTTTTGAATAGGGGAATGAATTTTTAAAAGATTGTCAGAGCTGTAGCGTGTGGATAGATTTGGGCTGGAAAATGGGAAAGTGAGATCAGAAACAACTTGCTTCTGCAGGTCTGTTAGGGCCTAAGGGTAGAGACCGTGGAAAGAGATAAATCAGAGAAAGAAAGGTAATGCTGATAGAAATGGTCAGTTTAAGCAGTGATTGATGCATTTGAATTGTGGTTTTGGAGAAGACTCTTGAGAGCCCCTTGGACTGCAAGGAGATTAAACCAGTCAATCTTAAAGGAAATCAACCCTGAATATTCATTGGAAAGACTGATGCTGAAGCTCTAATACTTTGGCCATTTGATCCAAAGAGCTGACTCAGTGGAAAAAATCCTGATGCTGGGAAAGACTGAAGGCAAAGGAAGAAGGGGGCAGCAGAGGAAGAGATGGTTAGGGCGCATCACCTACTCAACTGGACATGAATCTGAGCAAACTTCAGGAGATAGTGAAGGACAGGGGAGCCTGGTGTGCCACCGCCCATGGGGTCTCACAGAGTGGGACACAACTTAACAATTGAACAGCAACGGTAAAGAGTGATTAACTCAACAAACATTTCTTCCACATCAACTATGTCCTACTCTTTGTGGTAAGTATTTTCACATGCATTACCTCATTTAACTGCATGCTGTGAAACTGCCACTCTGTTCTGCTTCATTCAGATGAAGAACTGAAGTGTAAAGAAATTAGAACCAGATTTCTAATTCAAGATATTTGACTCTGAGTTTATTTTTCATCTTTTTCCTGTTGTAGTGATTTGTTTGTTTGACTTAAAGTAGAGCTAATAGATATCTAAGCTCTTTTTCCATGTGTTATTCTGTTTCTCTTATTTGGGAGAATCATGGTTTAATGACCCAGAATGAGAAATTTGAGGAGACTTGCTTGGTCAATTGTACTTTTGTAAGAAGGGGGTTTTCCAGTAGTCATGTATGGATGTG